CGTGTTCTATTTGGAAGATTTAGCAGATTTGGCAGATTTGGCATATTTAGCATATATGTCATATTCGACAGGTCTGTTAGTTTCTACCGGTTTCAACGTGAAGTTCAATTTCTACCTCTTACATGTAAATACCTTTTACTTCCATATGAACCTTCTCTGTATAGTGACTCTTTCCTATTGTATAATGACATTTCTCTTGAATTTCCTTACTTCAATAGATTTTATAATTTTATAAACCAATAAAATTATTAATATATAAGTGTTTTTTTTTTTTAACAAATCAGATATAACCAATATAATAACCTGTATTTAGAAGTTTATATATTAGACACTTAGTAAAAGAAAGTTGCTATGATATAATATTTTTTCTTAATTTATTTTCTTTGTATCTGAGAAGAAATTCATTCAACTTAAAGCTGTGTCATGTTTAACTATTTATACATTAAATAGACTTCATGATCTCTGAGAAGAAATTCATTCAACTTAAAGCTGTATCACATTTAACTATTTATACATTAAATAGACTTCGTGATCAGATCTATATTTAGTAAAAAGTCATATATTAAATTATTAGTATATTGGATTAGCTATGTTAAGTAAAAATACAATATAAAAAACTTACAATTTCATTTTTAAAAATTTTCAATCATTTTAAAATTGATGTAATTAACAATGTTTTTGAATAAAAGTAACAAAATTTCTTCATATGTTCCTCCTCCCTGAACCCAAAAACATGTACCATGTTATTGTCAAGCTTGTAATGGAAAATTGGTAGACCCTAGAACCAAATCAGCCTATTCTAAAAAAAGCATTGCGCCTATTGTACTTCAAAGGAAAATTAAAGAATTGACTAATCCATCTCCATCTGTTACTCCGTTATCTCCTTTGGAAGATCTTATGGATATTAGTGATGAAGAACCACAAAATCATATAAAGAAAGCTATTCATTTTTAGTTAGAAGAATATCAGTTATTCCTCAGAAAAAAAGGAAGTCTAAAATCTTGATTCTGGAAATAGTAAGCGAACTGTTTTCTGACGGTGATAGAGATGATGGTGATAATGTATCTGAAGAAGACAATAAAAGAACCTTTGAAGATGATGCTTTAGAAAACTTCTCAGACGATTCAGATGAAGATTTTCAATTGAATTTTGATATACCAGAAACTGAATCAGGAAAAAATGATTTTAAGTACGCTGTCAATCACAATGTTGACACTTTCGCTTTCACTTTATTATTTCATTGGTAGTAAGGTAAAATTATTGAAGCATGGCGAACAATTGTGCATAAGCATTTTCTTGTTGAATAAGTAAAGGTTCAGTTCACCATAAGTCATTAGTTAAATAGTTAGGGTTCATATCAGAATGAATTTTGCCACGTTCAAATCCAATAATACAATTATGAAGAATGATTCCATAAGGTAAATTATGTTTGCATGCCTTGCAATACATGTGAATGTGATGATTTTCAATATCACAAAAGTCAGTGCATTTAGAGCCTCCCTTGGTGATTGGTTGATTTGCAATTACTTGTTTGACTTTAATATTCTCTTTGTAAATTTCGATCATTTCATCTTTTGGACATTGGTATCCAACAGTAATCAATAAGTGATTTTCAAATTGATTCCTCAATTCTTGCTTAAAATAAGATTCACTATCATCTTCTTTCATGCTATTTTCTGGTGAAAAGATATGCCATTGGATTTCCTCTTTTTCTGATTCTTCAAAGCTTTATTAGTTTGTACAGAAATTATGTAAATTTCCACAATTTCATCAGAGTCTTCATTGTTATCTGGATCAATTCTGGATAAGGCATCGGCATTTGTATTGTTTTTGCCTGAACAGTGTTGAACTTGAAATGTATACTGCTGAAGATTTAATAACCATCTAGCTCTTTTGGTTCGATTTTTTACAGTTGAAGTTT